TGGATAGATCTACTAGTGAACTGAACGATAATAAATGAACGCGTTTTGGGAAATGATGGAGTCACCAGTAAATAAAAAAAACAGGCCTCTTCTTCATCAGACGTGACAAATTTGCATTATTGTTCTTATAATTTAAAATTTTTAAATTTTATTTCCTAATATTCCTCTTTTTAAAGGGTTAGTTGCGATCCATTTACAAAACCGAGCCCAGCGATTCTAACCTATGTTCTTGGCAGGACTTGTGTAAAAATAGACGTATGCTATTTCCACTTACATTACGATATTTATACAGATACTAATAATGGGGTTAGAAAATAATGGTCATATTTAGGGATTTTAAATAGTAGATAAATTAGTAGAAAATCATTATTTTGTGAATGGAACCAATAATAAAGTTTCAACAGTTATCGAATTATCTCACAGAGAATTGAAATCAGTCAAAAAAATTAACCCAAAACTATATGACGATTGCCACCAACATTAATAACCGCCTAATTCACAAAAGATCTTTTGACGTATGTGTAAGTTACATACCTACGGCATCATAGAGGGTTCCTCTGATGACAATGACACGACTTCGCACATTTGGAATAGAACCTGATGTAGGATCTGGTGAGACGAGACGTCCCTTTTGGATGGAGGCACCCGATGCGCTTTCACTGACTTCAAGCGAACATGGACTCAATCTCGCTTATATCGTCCATACGCCACATAAATTTATATCTAAACAAACAGAAGAGCCGGAAGTGGCAGGTACAATTCATATCTACACCCACGGTTCTAAAACAAAACAAGGTTCAGGATGTGGAAAATACTTCAATAGTGCCAGTGGAGTTCAAATGGAGTTTATGATGATTCTCAGAGTAGCAAAACAAATTACCAAAAACAGTATCACTGGAAGGCACTTTGTCATTCATACAGATAGAGGACAAGCACTACTCACAATGGACAGTCCAAGTATTTACTCAGGGGTTCTATTAGAATGTCACAAAGCTTTGGCCGAAGTGCCCATCAACAATGTAGTCACCTTAAGATGGATCAAATGTCAACCCGCATAGAAAGGTCTTGCTGATTCACTACCCAAGAAGGCAGCCAACCAAATGCTTTTGGACTGACAACATAATTAAAGAAAATTCCATCGTTAAATTCAATATTTTTACTGTTGATAGCGTTTAGATAAATGTGAAAAATGTCGGTGTCAGATGTCAATCATCAAAAGTGAACGTGGGAAATGATTTAATTTTATATGAAAATTTTTCATTTTCAAAAGCGAAAGTTTTAAAAAGTGATGAGACATCGTGGACTGTACTTCAATAAAAGATTTACCTAATAAAAAAACTAGTTGGTAAACTTAACTTTTGAATAAGTGGACAATACGGTCAGATGACCGATACAAAAATTAAGTCATTCTACAAAATACACTGTTCAAAAATGTCATTATTGTCTCTTGTTGCACTTATTTCGGGCGCCCGTCTCCTTTATCTAGGATAGGGGAAGAAACGGAACAATTTAACTGAAGTCTTAACAAACTATTAAAGTAAAATGAACTATTTATTTTTTTTAATATTGGAATAAATTCATACACCTCACAGATACGTACAATATATATGAACAATTTAGAGCTGCATCCAATTTACCTTTAGGATTAAACTGACCCTAAAATACAGGCGCCCAGTTTACCTGTTCATGAAATGGAGCAAGTAACCTTCGCGCCCAATTTACCACCGCCGAATTGGAGGTGCACTATCAACGTAGGAGGATGCACAATAGGCCCAGTGAGACGTAAGGGCCGTGGTTTAACTACACACGTTACAGATACAAACCTACGCAAATAATCACTATTTCAATATTTCACAAACCATTACATAATTATATCAATCTTGGTAAATTGACATTCGTTACATATTTGTCTATTTCGTATTTCTTCTTTTTTTTAGAAAACTATTAACCAATATTTAATTTGTTGATGATTTGGAGGAAATATATAACCTTATTTATTTAAATTTTACTACTTACAGTAACGATTCCAAGTACGACAGAAAAATATCGCCATCGTCCAGCTCTACTTTTTAGATAGATATGCAAATGTGAACGTTCTTTTAACGTTATTAAAACTATTATTCAGAATAACGTTTTGACTTTGAGCATCGAAGCGTTTTGACTACTGCTACAATTTAATTTACATACTTTACATTTTATGTTTGTGATTAATTTTGCCTGTAATATTTCTATTATATTAAAGCCTTAAAAGTGATCGACAGGTGGCAGAGTAATGCTGAAACAGAGAAGAAGACAGCAGCGTCAGTAACAAGGTGACTGCCTTGTACTTTCAACATGGCATCACTATCTGTGATCCGTTTTTAGAGTAGAAAAGGTGTCAAACCATTCGAAATAATCCTGAAACTAAAATGTCAAGCAAGGAATGAAGCTATAGCTCATCACCATTTCCTGAAAGTAAAATAACAAACAAGGAATGGAGTCATAGCTCATCTCGTGTATTGTTACAGCATAACGCTCGACCAAATTTAAATATCTTATTCACTATGTTCGGATTACTCAAAGAAGCAATGAAAGGACAGCATTTTAGAAGGGATCACAATAAACACAATTCTGTAAACGTGGTATCTATGTAGGTTTTCGAAGCAGTGAAATACTTGCATTTAACATCATGGAGACTACTTCGAAAAATGATACATGTATCCTTTTTTCCATTAAATTTATAACAATTTTAATGTTTTCATTTGATAGATCCCCGTATTTCCCAAGAGAGTTTTGAAAGCTACGTCTTAACAATAAATTTGTATTGACCTTTCTCATATTTTTCATTTAAACAATTACAGAAGACTTCAAGGACATAAAAATTGTTTAGACATGCATCTTACTTCATTTGTTGTCTCTTTCAATAGTGAAAAACGCAGATTTCTAACTCTAGCCGTAGAAACAATCAATAATGGTATTTATTCTTACAAAAGAAAATTTGGAATAACGAAATGCGAATATTTTTAAAACATTTGTGTTTTCTTCTCATAATGCATAGATAGTTTCATAGTGGTTTGTATTTTTGTTCTAGTTGTCGTGTCTGATTGACTATTGTAGACGTTTTTAAATTAGCTGAATCTGTTTTCACAAATTGAGCATTCATGTTCAATACTCACAAAAGATTCAAAAATATAAATGTAAACAAAATGGTATGGATTAATTAGAGTTTTATTTCAAACTGACATATACAGTGTGTGCCATAAAGTTATACCCACATGGGAGTTTGGTTTTAATATTAAGATTGTAAAAAAGTGTTTTAGAGCAATAAATTCTATTTATTTAAAAACTTAAAACAACCCATATCAAAGTTGGCTACTTACATTAATTATCTGTCAAATTTATATTTTTTGTTTTGAAAAATCGTTCAAAAATGACTTTCTTTTAAAAAAAAAGTTATTAGTGAAACTTGTTTTTAGTTACATTTTACGTCAACATCCTCTTAAATTATTTTAATTAACTATTTTTCGAAATTGATCTTGATCTTTGATACTGTAGTAAAATTTTTCCTTTTTCAGTAGTGAACATTACAAATTCTTAACTAAGGTCGTTTTGCTTGTAAGTGTCCCCCTTAAATAATAACAATTATATACTTTTTGAATCAATCTTGAAAATCATTCATATTATAGGAAATTTTATTCCAAATTGAAATATTTAGAAAATGTAATTCTTTTCCTAAAGATGTTTCGTGCAGTATCAGTCAACGTGTTTAATAATACGTATATAATATTGTCACGTCAAGCGTGTTTTATGATAAAAAATGTCAGTCGGAGTCTCAGTGATTTGGAGCCACTACTGGGAATCCCCTACAAGGGGGCCTCCTATGGGGAGGATCCTTCCCTGTGGAAAAAGCCCTGCGTATCGCCTCGACTTTTATAACTTCCCCATAGTTTATTGTTATGAAACTAATAATTAAATATCTGTTTCAAATCCGACTAATTTTAAATACGTTTGATTATTTTTGTTTAATAAACTATTGTACTATTAAACTATTATTATACTATGGTTTTTTACTTTTCACTAAATATGTAGCCATGATTTCGATTTTTAATAAAGGATAGCTGCTTTCTGTATATGATTTTATAACTTTGAATGAAATTTATTGTGTACGACAATTTGTTTAATTATCTTTAATCCAAAAATTGGTGGTTTTGTTAAAGGAGATAATATTAACTAATATGTGATTAAGTTTGTTAATTCACAGATATATAAAAAACAACTTCTAGTTTGCTGTTATCTTCTAATTGTCATGTATTTTAGTGTATTATTTAAGTTGAACCTTAGATATTTTATATGATTTTCCATTTAAATAGCCAGATATTAAAATTTGGAGTTATAGTCCAAACAGCGTTCCGCATCATTCACGTATGTGAAGTGAGTAAGGAATCATGTCTGGAATAACGGCGTCGGCATATCGAACTAATATGAAACTTAGTCGCTAGCAGGTTATGGTACAAACTTGGGTGGAGCCGAAATAAGTAGTGTATTTACTGTATTAGTGCACCCATATGAATTCCGGCGACCAATCAAAACTCGCCGTTTGGTCTACAATTACCGGTAATTTCTCCTTTAAAATATACAATGAGAATGGATTGTTGTCGATTGTGCCTTTGGATTGGACGGTTGCTGCTTTTCGATTGCGTGAATAAGTGTTTGCTAAAAAACATTTATTACGGACTCTTTTCATACGAGATGGAGACCCCAGGGGAACGAATAAATAAAATGAACGGATTTAATAACTAACAATTATTTTACAAAATGGATACTATGAGATTTATAAAATTATACTTACTGTACACATTTTTGATATACCTAATGTTTTACATTCTATTCCATTGAGTCTAATGGAGCCGCAGTCTCACCATTCTTTGTTAACACACATTCCTAGAGTGAACCTGATTCCGTTAATATACAATGTTCAGAATTATTAACCGTAGGTATATTATTCGATTTGTTTTTTTCAGATAAACTGTCTCAATCTGAACAAAAACCGAACACCAGCAACACCCAACCCTCAATGAGCAGCTCATCGTCGGCCAACAATCCCCAAAATCTCTCTCCTTTGGACACGCACGCATCTTCGGAACGATCTGATCGTCTAACAGAACGTCTGACAGAACAGCGCCCCGTAGATAGGATAAAGCAGGAGCGCGAAGAACCACCAGGATCAGGATATGGTCAACAGGCGCCCAGAGATATCAGGGAACCTCCTCCTCAACCGCCTATGCCTCAGGATAACAAGCCTTGGGGATACGCCGGAATCGAGCTAATGAATACTGGGGCTGCATTTTGGCAAAACTACTCTGGTGAGTATTTGACGGATTTTTGTGAGGGAAGAGTAAAAAACTAGTTAAATGTTTTATGTTTGTTTAGTTTCTTTTTAAATCCTGAAAGCTATGAAAGTGAAACTTCGCTCTCTATGTATAGTGATAATGACACTGTAATTTTTTCATTGGTGAATCTTTGTATATTTAAAATTTTAATCAATCAAAAAACGGTTAGCTATTTGGGTTATAAGCCAAGGTCGTCGAAAAAAAGAAGACACAAGATAAACATAACCACACATAATTAATCAATCTAAATATTTTTAGCATCCCTTGTGTATTTATTCTAATTCAATAAGTAAGGATTCAGTATTAAATTTGGATTTGAATCAAGAAAACATTTATTAGAGTTAAAAAAAAAAATTTCACGTAGGAAGATATTCAATATTGAATTTATTAAAAATCAACAAACTATGGTCTACAGGGTAAATAGGAATTATTTTCGGACTACATTTAAAAAAAAGACATATACGACATGAATACTTTCCAAAATACTAACACACTAAGGAAAATTTGAAATTTATAACGGATCGAACCAGTTTGTAGGATATACATACATATACATACATATACACGCAAATTCCAGATATATGCCATAAATTAAATTTAATAAGTCTAATAGAACTTTATCTTTTAAAATATTTCAACTTATTCCATATACGCGAGTATATAACATTTATCGGAATAGTAGCCACAAAAATATAAATTTTTCTATGCAATGTTGGGTTTTGGATTCAAAAATATTTTATAGTTTATTTTAAAGTATAAATATTTATTCTACAGTATGTTCGCTATAATTACGCAGGTTTCGGATTAACAAAATTATGCAAATTAGTCATTGACAACCAGTTCCAATAAGCCTCTTCCCAAGAAATTAGGTAAAATTGCCCTAATGGTCAGATTTAAATTAAAATAACATTAGGGTAGGTACTAAATTTGTTACAAATATTGCAGTTGTATTGATTCTTTGCAAGTGTTGACATTGTATGTATATTGTAAATTTAGTGGAAATTTTAAAAATGCCTAGACGTGTGTTAGATGTAGAAAGTCTAATTTGTAGTGTACATAAGTATTTTACGGATGAAAAAGAAAATGGCGGTCCTTTAAAATCGGTAATGTATGTACAACAACGCGTATGCGATGCTCTAGGAATTAGTGAAACCAAATTAAGAGTAGTATTACAAAATCACAATAGTGAACTGTCAAAAGAAGATCACCGTAAAACTCGCCCATCATTGAAAACGAAAGATATTCCAGATGGAAAGAAATTTGAAATTCGTGATACCATTTATCGAATGAGGGCCAACAAGGAACATGTTATCTTAAATACAATTCTCTCGGAATTAATAGCTAGAAAATTTGACGACATTGGCAGAACAAGTCTATGGCAAGTGATACATGACTTGGGTTTCAAATTTCAAAAGGAGGATAACAGAAAGGCCCTTTGTGAAAGAAGTTCTGTCGTGCACAAGAGAATTAACTGTCTAAGAAAATATTCTAAATTTAAAGAAGAAGGGGCTAATTTTATATATTTAGACGAAAGATGGATATTTTATAGGGGTGCAACTAAGAGAATATGGCAAGATGATAACGTAAAGTCCATCATACATACCGATGGAGAAGGAAAGCGACACATAATTTTACATGCAGGAGAGAAATCGGGTTTTATAGAAGGGGCTGATTTAATATTTTCATCTAAATCAAAATCCAGTGACTATTACGATAATATGAACACAGAAATGTTTGTAAAATGGTTGCATGAAAAACTTCTCCCAGGTTTAAGTGAGCCCAGCGTAATTATTTTAGACAATGCACCTTACCATTCTGAAGTATTAAACAAAAGTCCAACGAATTCTTGGACTGTTTTGATAAAATTAAAGAATGGTTGACAAAGAACATATACCATTTCCTCAATATACAGGGTGTTTCAAAAAGATTGGTCATAAATTATACCACGTATTCTTGGGTTAAAAATAGATCGATTAAACCGTACTTACCTTTATACAAAAGTACACCCAAAAATAGTTACAGGGTCTATAAGATAAAAATTTAAATGATTTTTGTTAACGTTGCTCTTAAACCGTTTGACATTTTTTCATGACATTTTATATGACGTGTTGGAATACCATGACTAACAAAATCGAGGTAGAGGCAATATATTTTTTTATTTGTGTAGGATTTTGGAGGGTGTCACCGCCCCTTTCTCTACTCAACTTTTTTGTAATATAAAATTTTATTAAAAATCGAACGCTACTAAAATGCAACATCTATTTGAAAACTTTTTGGTCTCCTAGTATTTGTTTGTAAAATGTTTGGCTTAGACGATACAGCCACTTAAAATGACATCTTAAAAATATTCAATGTAAATTATACGTATGCAAAATTATCAAAATTCGATTTTCATTGTTAAAACTATGTAGTAAGTGTATACAGGAGAAGAATGTAATTTTGAACACCTGTTAAATAATTTTTTTTTATTTTGATAACATTAGTTTGTAATTTAAAAATAAACTTGGTTTTGATATTTTTCATATCTACGTAGAATTTCCATTGAATATTTTTGAGTTGTCATTTCAAATGGCTGTATCGTCTAAAACTAAACTTTTTACAAACAAATACTAAGAGACAAAAAAGTTTTCAAATGGATGTTGAATTTCAGTGGCGTTTCATTTGTAATTAAATTTTATACTACAAAAAAGTTGAGTATAGAAAAGAGTGATGACCGCTCCAAAAACCTATAAAAATCAAGAAAAAAATATTGCCTCTTCCTCGGTATTATTAGTCATGGTATTCTAACACGTCATATAAAATTTCATGAAAAAATGCCAAACGGTTTAAATTTTTATCTTATACACCCTGTAACTATTTTTGGGTGCACTTTTGTATATAGGTAAGTACGGTTTATCGACCTATTTTTGACCCAAGAATATGTGGTATAATTTATGGCCAATCTTTTTCAAACACCCTGTATATTAAAATCAGAATTATTACGCTTGGCAAATGACTCCATTAATGAAGAAGTTTAATTCTGCTCCCAATTATACAAAAGATTCTCCATTATTATTTAATTAAAAAGTTGTACATTATTTTTCATTTCATTTAACCAGTTGATATTTCCCCAAAGAACAGGTCAAACTTTCGGGTACTTACCTGAAAATACTCATAGTTTTTCCAAATTAGCTGAAAAAGGAATTAAATTATTTCAAATAGAATTATTCTGGGAATTAATACTTGCCAGGACAAAGGACAGGATAATCTTGTTAACTATTCTAAGAACCCTTTTATTGAAAGAAACAGTAACCTTAGAGTACCTATTATCTAAAATTACAAATCATTATATTTAATCTATTTTATATTTTAGTTTGAGATTTGCGAAATTATATTTGGTGTCCTATGTTCAAAAAGGTTTACTGTGTATAGAATAAAAATTCAGATCAGTTATTTAACGACTGTGCTTCAGTTAAGTTCTATTTGGTAACTTATTTAAATATGTTTGCAAATATTTTAGTATTTTTAAGAGTTTGTTCTGTTTGTTAAAATCATAATGAATACTGGAGAAAAAAGTGGTCTTGTAGAAAGGAGTCGAAAAATATAAAATCATTTTGGAATGCAAAAAAAACAAATAAAATAAACAATGTTAAAAAGGTTGGTACAGCTAGAATACTATTTTTATCATGAAAAATATGTTTTCAGAAAAAAGCTTGGAATTTACTGACTTTGAGTTTCAATGCTATAAATTAAGTGGTTGGTGTCAACTGCTGAACAATTAAAATCAAAATTCGACAATTTAAAAACAAGTTATACTATTTGTTTGTTTATTCACATTAAATTAAAGCAAACAACTGGCGCGATGTCATCAAAACTCAATTAAAACGACAAACTGTCAAACTTCATCGGAAAAAGCACGCTTTAAAGCTTCTAAAGGAGCAGAAACGGGTATTTAGTTAAATAAAGCTTTAAGGTTTACTTACTGTGTCAATAAATTTTTATTATGTAATCGATATAACATTTAAAAAGTTCTTTTAATATTAAAGCTTCATTTAATTTAATTATGAAATTGGCCCTTAGACCCAACAAAAAAAATTATGGAGTTACTGAGACTAGGAGAGAAATAACAGTTTAAGTTGGCAACACTTTTCTGACGTTCATTTGTCGAAAATAACAATAGAGGTTTTTATTGAAAGACGTATTGCCGTTGCCACCTATCAGTTTATATAGAGTAAAGTAATAGAAACAGGATTTTATTTCAATGAAAACTGTAAATTTGTCGTTTTAACAATGTCTAAAGTTAAGGCGTCGGCATAAATATCTTCTTTCTTCCTTTTAATACTACTGGCGAATTTTTTTTTGTATTGTAAAATAGTAGTCCACAATCCACATGTATATCAAATTTGAATAGGATCATTAAATAAGAGATAAACTAAATATACTATAATTAAATCAATTTGACACATAAGCACACTGACATAATAGCAATTGTAACCAATAATATACCTAGCTATTCTTATCAATCATAGCCGTCTCAGTCATAAGAAAAATTGGAAATAATATATTTCGGATTTAATTTTCTATAGGTTGAGTGGAAGAGAGGACTAGACCTAACTCTGCCTTTTCGGACTTCTACGAGTGGCAATCCTCAATTGCTCAACTACGTCTCGCCAGGCAAAACTTCTCGTAGTCGCACGAAAAACTCAACTTTTCGTCCTTAACATAATAGCTATTTGTGAGACAGAAAGTTAGCCAAGCGATGCGTCGTGGAGCGCGGCAATCTGTCTAAAGCGTTAATGAACTTTTGACTCAAAATGCACACAAGATTTTTTCTACGATTTTATTATTTTAGGAAATAAATATAAAAACTGAAAATGTATCGTAAGTAATGTATAATGTGTTGCCTATATCTACGTTAATCATAAAAAACGAAGTTGATATTCAAAGTCAATTATTAAAGGAGATAAAATATTACATGAATTAAATTTTCGTTA